AGTGTAATGGAATGGAAATTTAAATTGCTAGGAGGTCCATATACAACTTTATTCCATTAAAAGTCAGGAATACGATCCAATGTGTTTCGGTGGTCCATGAGAACCCCTTTCATCAGGGCTTGGCTGGCAAAATGTGAACAAGCTGTAAGCGAGCTATGCCTACGATGTTATTTTTCAAATGTGAATAACAAGTACAAGCCTTGTTAGCAGCTTGTTTGGGAGCCCAATGGAACATGCTTGCTATTTTTTTGGATTGTACAGCTGACTTTTGATGGAATAAAATTTTATTTGGACCTCTTAGCAGTGGTGTGGCACTTCAATTTCGAGTTCGGTATTAGACCAGGTTGGACGCACTCATAGGATGGGGGGCATATCTTGAAGGATGACTTGGCACAGTTGTCCTCTAAAAGAAAAGTGCCAGTTCATAGTAAGAAAGAATAATATTCACTGTTAAGAATTTGGAATTCTAAGGATTTTTTTTGCCATACAATTTTTGGTATGTGAAGTAAACTTGATGAACTTTTGTATTTTTGGAATATGCAACTCTATAACCAAGAATAAAGTAAATCCTTCAACAACCTGAGTTGGTTGTAAAGTGCTCTGCTAAACACAGCAGTCTGACCTCATCTTACATTTGGATCTAGGCAACTGAAGTTGCATCCAAAACATCCATACCTATACGAGGAAGAGCATTGGTTTGCAAAGCCTTTAGCTGTGGAAAAAAATGATATTGCCGAGCAACTCTCTAAATAACCCTGCTACATGGGCAGCTTCCCTAAATCCTCTTTTTGCCCTGGCAAACATACGCAATTAACATATTGGTAAAATAGTCCTTGTCTGACAATTTTGCAGCTGTGTTTCGTTATTTTTTTTTTTTATAGTTTAATTGTATGCTAGTTGCCAGTTTAGCACAGCAAATAGCATTGACTTGATATTAGATTTTATTTGGCTTATTTAAATACCACAAGCAGACTTTTTCTTCCAGCTCTCATTCTGAACATTGTTTTTGAAAAGGCTTTTCATGTCATACAATTGGAATATAAAATTAAAGCAATTTGAAAGGAGTTCTGCACTGGTTACTAAGCTGCTGAACTTTACCTCAATTATTCCACCCACAACGCCAGCAAACAGCTGCTCTGCCCATTCGCTGCCCCTCCAAACACTGCAATTACAAGGAAAGGAAATGTTTGCTGAATAAAGGACTTGACACAGCATGGAGGCACAATGTGTTAAAGGGGAACTGTAGTGTAGTAAAGGTTCTTCATGCAATGTATAAAGGTGGTTAGCTTAAAGTGACTCTGTATGCCATTGCTGGTCCTCATTTGAAAATACTAGTTACCTGTCTATTTCTAATATTTATTAAAAGGTATTTATATAGTATGGGCATAGAGCTTTACATATACTGTATGTTCACCTAAAGGAGCTTACAATCTAAGGTTTCTATTTTATATACATACATACACATACCAGAGCCAATTCAGACAGGAGTCAATTAACCTACAAGCATGTCTTTAGAGTATGAGATGAAACCAAAGTACCCAGAGGTAACCCATCCAAGCACATGGAGAACATGAAATTCTATGCAGGTGGTGTTGTGGTTGGGATTTGAACCGATATCCTTACTGCTGCTAGGCAGAAGTGTTAACCTAGTTAGTTCTAGTTTCTAACTCTAAGGGTTCATCATTATTATTATTATACAGTATTTATATAGCACCAACAGTATGCTCAGCACTGTACATTATAAAGGGAGACAGTACATGAGACAGTACAGTACAGCGGTGGGCTGACAACTCATGGGGCCCCCGGGCAATAGGGGATCATGGGGCCCCTGTGTCCTCGCCCACACTCAAAGCACACCCAAAAAAGCCTAAAAAAGGTACCAGGGGCATTTCATGGGGCCCTCTACTGACCCCTGGGCCCTCGGGCAGTGCCCGAGTGCTCGAATGGTCAGTCCACCCCTGGTACAGTAACAATACAATACACAAGGGGTTTGAGGACCCTGCTCCTTGGAGCTTACAATCTAGGAGGGAGGGGAGAGTGGTACAGGAGGAAATAGCTGTGGGGGATGGAGTGGTGGGAAGAGCGGAGGAGGTCAGCAATTAGGTGAGGGCGGGGTAGGCTTCCCTGAAGAGATGGGTTTTCAGGGTGCGCCTAAAGGTGAGGAGGGTAGGTGACAGTCTGATGGATTGGGGTAGTGAGTTCCAGAGGATGAGGGAAGCCCTGGAGAAGTCCTGGTTCATGTACACGGGACGTTAGGAAAACACTTCTGAATGATGGAAACTGACTGCTGGAAAACATAAGTTAAAAAAAACGTCTGTTTAGCCACATTTGCATACCGTGTTTATGCGCATTTGCGTTTAGTTGTCTTTTTTAAAGATAACCTCAGGAGACCTTCCAAAATGCCCAGAATGCACTGAAAAACAGTAAAAAAATAACTATTTCAGACATTTTGAGAGAAATTGAGAGAGCAGAAGCAGAGAGAGCAGTATGTGTTGAGATGACCGGTCTTTTCTGGTTGTATTCACTATGGATCCCATCATGAGCATAATGCGGCACGATCTACCATTTTTTCCTTCACGCAAAACCTGGAACTGACTGCGCTGGTGTACTGGGTCCATTTGAATACATGGAAAACGCTGTGCATGCAGCTGATGATGAAAAAAGGCTCTGGACAGCATCTGGATATGGAACAGTTAAAAAACGCTTCTAAACGCAAATGCTTATAAACGAGGTCAGCCGCGTTTACACATGTTTACAAGCATTTAGCGATTGAAACGCTGATAAAATCTACTCCTGAATGCAAGTTTGGTGCATTCAAAAAATTACTGTAAACTCAACTGCCTGTAAATGACTGTAAATGAGAGTGTACATGAACACATAGGAAAACATTAGGGAGAGTTCAGGGGCTGCTGAAAAAAACGCAGAACAGCTCCTGAACGTCAGTTTATCAGCTGCAGTGTACATGAGTCCTTAGCTGCCAGAGACATTTTTTTTTGCATACATTTTTAAAACATCATTTTAGATCTGAAGATTAGTTAAAACCCCCAAATTGTATAGTTTTTTTTAAAGCAGACACACTGGAAAATAAAATGGTGCACAGCCCTAAGAATAAAACAGTTGATCAAGGGCAAATTTGTACAAAAAATACACTAAAGTACATTTTAGGGCACACAAATGTAATATATTGCCAAAGTATAAAAGATGATGTTGCAATGAGTAAATAGATATCCATGATGTCATACTTTAAAATTGCACACACCCACAAAAATGACAACTAACTTTGACACCCTATATTTTCCATAGGCAGCTCTTTTAACACACCTACAGGTCATCAGTTTAGTGTTAACCATGAATAATGGCCCTAGAATTATTGTTCCTACTTCGGTGTGTTCAGTGATATGCAACTTGAGTAATGTAAGCAATTTTTTCAGAAATTTTCCAAAGTGTGTGGTTACATCCATGTGTTTATGTATAGTAAATGAGGATAGGACAGGCTAAACTTTTTTTTTTTTCGGGGGAGGGGGTGGGGTTGTAGTAGTTGGGATTACCTTTGTTTTTTGACACTTTTTTCACTACAAATTATTTATATTACATAGGGGACAAAAAGACACTTATGTCATTTTTTTTTTTGACAGGTTCCCTTTAATGAGACATCAGGGGTCTTTTACACCCATGATGCCTTACCTACCTTCTGTTAAAGCTAATGCACAGATCATGGCAGCCTCTTCTTTGATAGATCAATTTCTCACGGACAAGTATAATGTTAACTAAAGAAATCCAAATGTCATGGTCCAGGGGAGCAGAGGCTGCCCACCTTTGTGTTATAGACTTACTAGCCAAAAACAATGTCCTGTGTACAGGAATTTGCCCCATAGGTGAAATCACCTCATCATCTGTTCTGTCCCATGTGAGGGGTAAATTGCATATTACATATTTCCTTGCTAATGTTGACCCCAGAAATATCTAATAAAGTCTCTAATATCCTTGTTATTCTGATTACCTTAAATAACAAAGGAATGTGATGTGCCTATATGGACAAGCCAGCCCACCCTCCTTTCAGGAATGTGTGATTAAAAATTGACCAAGTCCTTAACCACTTCCAGACCGGACACTTTTACCCCCTTCCTGACCAGGGCAATTTTCAGCTTTTAGCGCTATCACACTTTGAATGACAATTGCGTGGTCATGCAACACTGTACCCAAATGAATTTTTTACCATTTTTTTTAGATAGATAAAGCTTTATTTTGGTGGTATTTATTCACCACTGGGATTTGTATTTTTTTTGCTATGTAAATGAAATGTCCAAAAATTTTTTAAAAAAGTGTTTTTTTAATAAAATTTTGCAAATAAATAATATTTCATCATAAATATTAGCCAAAATTTATTCCGCTATCTTTTTAGTAAAAAAAAAAAAATCCAAATTAGTTTATAAGCAAAAATTATAATTTTTAAACATTTTTTTTTACATTTTTATTTTATTTTTTTATATTATTATTTTTTTTTTTATTTTTTTATTTTTTTACATACTGTCACCCTAGCAGTACAGTGTCACCATGGTGACACTGTACTACTTGTGAGGGGTGATAAAGATTTTTTTTTTTTTTTTTTTACACTGATTGCTTTTACACCCATATAGGATGTAAAAGCAATCATTTCTCTTTCTCTCTGTGTGCTTTCCTGCACTCATTGAGAAATACAGAGTGAGCTGTGATTGGTCACAGCTTGTCACATGGTACAAGGCTTTTGTGAATAGCCTTGTACCATGTGACCTCTGTGATCATTCACAGATTTCACACATAGTAAGCAATGATGTCACAAGTGACATCTTGCTTACTACTTTGCATGTGATCACTGATTGGCCAATCAGTGATCACATGATCGGGACCTCGTACAGAGGTCCCGCCCGACGATCGGTGTTTCACTGTGTCCGGAGGACACAGCGGGCACCGGATCGCGGTGCAGAGCGCGCACAAGCAGGGTGCGGGGAGGCCGTTTATAGACGGCCACCCGACCCTGCAGTGCCACCGTCCGGCCGTTTATATACAACGGCCGGTCGGGAAGTGGTTAAAAAGCCATATTGATGCTTACATAAACAAAAGAAATAAAAAACTAGCTTCTGCACTGGCCACTATAATACCATGATGGACAATAAATGTCACAAAATACAATGCCCCGGTTCTTTATCTCTTAACTTTTTTGTCTCCTGGGGTACTGCAGCTCTCTACTGTCTCCACTGGGGGGGGGGGGGTTGGGGGGGTGAGAAAGACCTAAACATACAAAGAGAGAGAGAGTACACAACCACCCTAGTGTAATGCCGTTTTATTGTAATAAGGGTTAAACATTTTTCAGATTGCACTCATGTTTTCACATAGGTAATGCAGTTTCTTGTTTGTATTCTTACCTCCTTGCTGCAGTGCTGCTCCTGATCCCTTTCACATGTGTGTTTGTCTGTGCTCACCTATGGGCGTCGTCTGCTATCCTCTGGGTTTTATTTCCTTCTCTTCCATCACTTGCTCGCCCACATCCTTGTTTGCCTGCCTATATGACATGCTCAGTCTAGGCCACTTTGCCTGAGCAACATCCTAGTTGTCTGAGCTCCTGTGTGTTGCTATTGCCTGTATCCTACATTGACTACTTGTGTGCCGACCCCAGCTTCGTTCTCTGACTGTGCTTGTTTTCCACCTGTCCTGACCTCGGCTAGTCTATCAGATTTCTGTTTGTCTCTTCCCATTGTACTCTGCTCCCGGGAGCGGTCTCCTCATTTTCAGCTGTGCGTACCTGGGGGCCGTGAACTGGTAGCATCTTGCTGCAAGTCCTTCCCCACCATCAGGGGCTCTGGTGAAGAAGCAGGCTGGGGCTTAGACTCTACGCCTTGGGGAACCCCAAGTTGGGTATCTACAAGGGCTCACTACCACAGGTGCTGACAGTATCAAGCATGACTGCATGTAAAGTGATCCATCGTGTGGTCCCTGTAAGATCTAAAGCCTCTGGGTGATCCCCTGCTGACCGCAAGCAAGTGGGGACTACGCTGGAGGCATAGTGACAGACCGCTAACATCCCTCCTCACTGCGTGTGCACCCAGTCCAGCCTGCGCGGTGCTTCGTAGGCGGCTGGTAGCTCCGAGAGAGGGCTGATCACAATGTAGGAACACACATCATGACCATGTCACGGTTGCAATGACGAAGCATTTTGGAGGTGTGCCCTGCTTTGTCAAGCCACACCCACTTCCTATCATCAAAGCTTTTATTGGGAACAATGGCTCCTCCTGGCATTTGGATCTTAAGGGCCCAGGCCACCTATACAGAGCCTTGGTCCACACTCCAGTCAGTGCAGCCTCCGCCTCCCTCACACACTTGCCTATGTGAAAATCTGAGTGCAATCTGAAAAGTTTTTAACCCTTATTACAATAAAACGGTATGACGCTAGGGTGGTTGTCCGCTCTCTCTCTTGTATTGTTGCTTACAAGAGGAGTTGGCTGTGGGCTGTTCATAGTCTATATACTACAGTTGTAGCTGGAAATATTAAGTCTTGTCTCAGAACTGCAGTAAGCAAGCGTCTCTGGCCACCGGTTTGCCATGCCATATCATAAGAGAGACCCATGGCGGAAACAGCATCTTTAGTTATGTATTCTTGTTATATCTTCTATATCTGTGTCTGTCATTACTTGTAACAAATGTTATATGTATAAGTATTTGTGTGATCTCTCTTTGCACATATCAAATACAACCCCAAAAACATAACAAAACACATGGTACCAGGAGAGTGGGGTTCGATCTGTGTAAACTAGAGATACAAATAATGATGCAGAATTGTGCTAGATTGTTTGTGTTGGGTTTAATGTTGTGTTTTTGTATTGTAAGACATAGTACATTCAGAAAGGATAGAAAATGTATCAGGTCCTTAGCTCGCTTAATCGAGATGCTAGTTGGTGATCAGGTGCGAGCAGGGATGGACTGACAACTCATGGTGCCCCCCGGGCAATAGGGGATCATGGGGCCCCTGTGTCCTTCCCCAAATTCAAAAAAGCCTATGAAAAATGTACCAGGGGCATCTCATGGGGCCCCCTACTGACCCCGGGCCCTCGGGCAGTGCCCAAGTTTCCAAATGGTCAGTCCGCCCCTGGGTGCGAGCTCATTCCTGTGTTGGGTGGAATCCTATTGTTCGCATTCCTTACCAGTCGGCGAAGGAATTATTTTGGTTTGCTAAGATTGAGAGAGAGACTAATGTACAAATGGGTTGGTTGTATTGTCAGGAAGTTTCAATCTATGATAGTAAAAAGCTCTGGACTCTGGACTGTAGCAAGTTTCAGAGCAATTAGCTTTTTTAGGTTTGAAAAGAATGAGCTAATGCTCAGATTATGAGTACTGCAGTAATGTAAGATACGTGTGTATTTCTGAATCCCAACATGTTTTGTTTGCAGCTAGCTGATGTTGAGGACATGGTATTTGTTTGAAGACATGACAAATGCATGTTGTTTTGTCTGTGGTAAATGTGACAGTAGTACCCAGGGGTGGACTGACAACTCATGGGGCCCCCGGGCAATAGGGGATCATGGGGCCCCTGTGTCCTTGCCCAAACTCAAAAAAGCCTATGAAAAAGGTACCAAGGGCATCTCATGGGGCCCCCTACTGATCCCGGGCCCTCGGGCAGTGCCCGAGGTTTCAAATGGTCAGTCCGCCTCTGGTGGTACCTGAATTAAGATAGAAAGGTAATACTAAGCACAGCTTATGTGTAAAATAAATTTTGCTACTGATGTCTGAGGGTCCAAGTAAGTAATGAAACTAAGCTGAAAGTTATGAGAAAAGTGAGTCTGTGTAAGTTTAACTAAAAAAAATCCATTTGAAGCAGAGATAGCTACAATCTGTGACTGTGTGTGGGTAATCCTTCTCTTGCTCCTTGATGTCCTGTGTGAGAGGTCCATGTTACTTAGTTAGTCTGGTTGAAGAAAGACAAAATTCCTCCAGCTCAGCCATTTAAAAAAAAAAAAAAGTTATAATCCTACACCCACAGTTGATCCAGAGGAAGGGAAAAAATAACCCAGCAAAGTATGATCCAATTTGCTCCTGCAGGGAAAAACATTCCTTCTTGATCCCCCCACAAGCAATCAGATATTCCCTGGATCAACTTTACCTATAAATGTTAGTATCCAGTTATATTCTGTGTATCTAAGAAAGAATCCAGGACTTTTTTAAAGCAATCCACTGAGCTAGCCAGAACCAACTCTTGAGGGAGTCTATTCCACATTTTCACAGCTCTCACTGTGAAGAAACCTTTCCATGTTTGGAGATTAAATTTCTTTTCCTCCAGACGTAAAGAGAGTGCCCCCTTGTCCTCTGTGATGACCTCAGGGTGAATAGCTCTACACTAAGTTCACTATATGAACCACTGATGTATTTATACATGTGAGAGAGAGAAGAGCTCAGGTTCAAATAGCGCCACAACCCCCTTAACAAATTGTTTGTGTGTGAAGCTGTTCTGTCCCCACATGAAGGCGAATGAAGGTATAACTGATAATGGCTGTGTAACTTCCTACCTTCGTATCCAAACAGTGGAGCAGACCAGACTGGCAGATGCTCAGGTTAGATGGATCCGAACGTATACATGGGAATGAAATCAAAGTGGGTTTATTTGGTCCAAATACAGCGACAAACAGTGATACAATACTGTAAGGTAGTAGAGGTATTGATGCTGTCCTGTGATATCTTTCCTGAGGCTAACTGCTGGTCAAAAACTGATGCCTTCACAAGCCCAGGGTATTGAATGTCCTGTCACACAGCTATAAAGCACATAAAATGGCTGCAGGAAGTGACCAGAACCAAGGCTTGCCTAAAACCACACCCAGCAGAGAAAAAACTTTACTAGCAAGAACAGAGGCATTCAGCATGCAAATTCTGGCCAGCAGATGGCAGCAACAGATCAATACATAGAAACAAACTTGGTGAAATAAGAATTGGTGATACAATGCACAGTTAAATAACAAATATGAGGAGAACAGCACAGAAGCAGAACATTTTTGACCATCTAGGAAATGTGTATCATTTGATCTTCAAATGTGGGTGACCTGAGAGATTTTATAAGGCAATAGGAACAGTTTAAAAACAATTAGCAAAAAATAAAATCATAGTGAAATTGTTAGTTTTTACTTTGTAACCCATTAGGTAATTTGAAACAAAGAAAAGGACTGATTGCGGTCAAAACCCTTTTGCTGATTGTGGCCGACACACTTTAATTGACTAAAAGTAGCCAAAATTATTAAATTTATTTAAATGTTTAGCTCCCATTCCAGCCTACTGTACATGTGAAAGGAAGAAGGCTTCACCCACTGGCAAAACCTGTTTGTACCCCTTTAACGACTGTCAGTTGAACAAGATAGTTGTTAAATGTATCTAAATGTATGACTAAGCTAAGAGTAACAGCTTAAAGCAATACTAAAGGTTCATATTTTTTTTGTAAAATAACCAACATGTTATACTTACCTGCTGTGTGCAGTGGTGTTGCACATAGCAACCTGGATCCATCTTTCTTCGGGTCCCCCGCAGGCTCTCCTGGCTCCTCCTGTCTGTTGGGTGTCCCCACAGAAAGCAGCTTACTATGGGGGCACCCGCTGTTCTGTGTGTCCATTTACAAATGAAGCAGTGGCTTGGCCTTGCCCCCTCTCTCTCCTCTCTGGCTGACTGGCTGTGACTGACAGCAGTGGGAGCCAATGGCTCCCGTTTGCTGTCTCAGCCATTGAGGAGGCAGAGACCCAGGACAGCCGAGGCTGTTGTGCACATCAATGGATCATGATGAGGCTCAGGTAAGTGTTGAAGGGGCTGGGGGCACTGCAGCACACATGAAGGTTTTTTACCTTCATGAATAGAATACATGAAGGTGAAAAAACCTTCAGCCTTTACAACCACTTTAAGTTAGGATAATGGTGAATGGTCACTAGATATGTACATGGATATCTTTGTATTGTCCTTATTGGTGATTGTAATGAAGTGTGATACTTTAGAATATAACACTAATTGTTTTTAAGTTTTTTTCGTTACCACAGAAGGAACCAG